ATTTCTGGGAACCATCTTGGACATGAGGGACGGTGCCCACATCAGGCGATGGGAGACAGGGGGTGGACACCATGGCGGAGGCTAAGGGAGACGGTCCTACCTTCATGTGGACACTGATGGCCTCAGAGGACCCTGAACAAGCACGCACAGGGGTAAACCGGCAGGATTCCCACCCTCTCACCCCTGCTTTTTTTTTTTTTTAGTGAAACACCATGAGGTACAATTGAGTTGTAGACTTACAAATTTTTGTGCTTGGGTTTCAGTTATACAATGATCAAGTACCCATCCCTCCACCAGTGCCCATTCTCCACCTCCAGTGCTCCCAATATCCCTCCCATCCGCCATCCCCCCCCATCTCACCCTGCCTTTGTGACAGGGCATTCCCTTTTGTTCTCTTTCTCTCCTTTTGGGTGCTGTGGTTTGCATTGAGTGGCAATCATGTTCGGTCTATAGTCTACTTTCAGCATGCTTCTCCCATCCTGGGAGGATCCTCCCAACACCCTTTATTTGGTGCTCCCTTCTCTATCTCAGCTGCCTTTTCCCTTAGCATGTGCGGCTGACCTCCAAGCCATGGAGTGAACCTCCTGGTACTTATCTCGGCTATTCTTGCCACCCCCGCTTTTTGCTGTTTAGGATCGCACCCAGTGGTGGTCAGGGCTTACTCCTGGCTTCAGGGGTTACTCCTAGTGGAGCTCAAGGGACCATAGGGGATACCAGGGATCGAACCTGGGTCAGCCACGTGCAAGGCAAACGCCCACTTTGCTATCTCTTGGAGTTTCCTCTTTTGATAATTAGTTGGAACACTCTGAAGAGTATGGCCAGCAGGGACCCACTGGAGGGCTACAAGAGGTGCGGGGGCTGGGAGGGCGGGGAGAAGAGCATACAAACTGGGTGATCTGGACCATGAACAGTGGCTGCGTTGAGACCCCCAGTAAAGGGAGGTCTGGTGAGTTTGTGATGCCAGGGATCGAACTCAGGTCAGCCTCATGAAAGGCAAGGTAAGCACCCTTTCAGCAGTACTATCTTGCCAACCCTAGGATAAGCAAAAATTATTAAAAAAAAAATTCTAGTGAAGCAAAATTTTGAAAGAAATTTAGAGAGAGAGGAGGGTGTGTGTGTGTGTTTGTGTGTGTGTGTGAGAGAGAGAGAGAGAGAGAGAGAGGAGAGAGAGAGACCTGCTCAAGAGAGAATATGGACCTCTCCAGAGGGGGTAAGAAACCAGAGTTTTAAATATGTATGAAGCCAAATCTGTCTGCGTTCCTCTTGTGATTTCTTCTTACCCTCCTGAAGTTTGAAAAGTCCCTCACACTCATTCTACCTCTTCAAAGACTTGCTATCCTTCCAACATTTCCCATATGTTCCCAACAGTTTCTTAATTGCTGTCTGATTTTGCTGGGTGGGTCCCCACACCCACCCAAATGACTATAGAATAATGGTATTAAACCACACGTTCATAGTTAGCATTCCTTAGGATAGAGGCATGTTTTTCAAAGCTGAATCAGCTTTACAAATGAAGTCGGTACTAGTATGGGTGATGGATGGGGGGCAAACCAGCAAGTGAGAATTTGAGACCGGAAGAGCATAATGCAGTTGGTTAGAATCCACCAGAAATTAATTTTGCTGCCCGGAGGCCCCACTTTACCTCCAGATTATTCACCAACTTCTTCAAACCATTTACTAGCTCTCTCATTGAAAATGATATTTTAAAATCTGGAGCGAGGAGGACACTTCCCTTGCAGCCTGGGTTTGTTCCCCAGAATTCCATATATAAATCCCCAAAAAGCACTAAGGAGTGAATGCTGAACACAAAGCCAGGAGTAAGCCCTGAACACCACCAGGTGTGACCCAAAGCACAAACAAACATGACCCAAGGCACAAACAAACAAAAAAGACTTTAATCATCTACCATTTCTAGCCAGTATATTTATGAATCTTATTATTGTTGTTGTTGTTGTTGTTCCATGAACCTTTCATTGGTCTTCATCGCTTTTATGCTTCTCATTTCTGTGCGTAGCTTAATATCTGACTCTGTGGGTCTTGCTAATTTTGAGGGCTGGGTTCTGAGCTGGGGGCTGTGATGGGTCAATGATACAGGGATATAAAAGTCGACCCATTGGGTTGTAGCTATCATATCAGAATCCTGCCTGTTTCTAAAGAGAGAAATGCTGAGGAGGCTTTTTAGTCTGTCGGGAAATGGAATGTATACGTACATACGTACACACACACACACACACACACACACACACAAAGTTGTGTCTACAGGCATGCTCATTCTAAAGAAAATAATTCTGTCTAAAACTAGAGCAGAACTGGACAATAACTCCCCCCAAAGCATTCTTATGAAATTACAGGCTCCCTTCAAATACAACATTGCCAGTGAATTCCACTGCTTCCTTGGAATACACTGACGGCTTGACTGAGAGAACAAATAGAGCTTTAAATAATGAGAAAAGTTGGGGTCGAGGCCATTGGACAGTGAGTAAGATGCTTGCCTCACATGCATCGGGCCTGGGTTCTTTCCCTGGCATTCCATATGGTCTCCAGAGCCCTGCCAGGAGTGATTCCTGAGCACAGAGCCAGGAATAAACTCTGAGCGTTTCCAAGGATAGCCCAATCCCCCACCAACCAAAGAGAGGTGGGGGGGAGAGAGAGAGAGGTTAAAGATGGGGCAGATCTGAGATTTTACAAACCTGAAAAAGAATGGGTTGAGAACCTTGAATTGTTAGAATCAGGAAGTGGTGATAGGTCCTGGGTATTCTAACTTTCAACATCAAAATCATAAATATTACCACAGTGGAAATAAGCCTGGCTCCCCTCCAAAAAAAAATTGCATTGTTATTTCCAAGGGGATTTCTTAAAAGTAATGATTTCTAATATGCAGCGTTAATGTCCAAAATGGAGCTAAGAAGATTAAATTTTAATAAAGTAGTATTTCCCTAGAAAAAAATATATGAGAAAAGCATGGGCTCAGGTGGTAGAAAACATCATCTCATAACCCCCACCACCACATTCCTGCCCCCGAGAACAGCCAGGGGGCACTTTCCTGGGTGTACCCCACTCCTCCCACCCAGCACCTCTGGGTGGAGCCCTTGTGATATGCTGAGAGAAGTACAAAGAAATTCTGTTCAAACCCCACATCCTCCCAACCAATGAAAAAAAAATTGCTTTACTTGAATAAAAGTAGTTTAAAGTGCATCTTTTTTTTCCTTTTGGGTCACACCTAGTGATGCACAGGGGTTACTCCCAGCTCATGCACTCAGGAATTACTCCTGGCAGTGTTCGGGGGACCATACAGGATGCTGGGAATTGAATCCGGGTCGGCAGCATGCAAGGCAAACGCCCTATCCGCTGTGCTATCACTCCAGCCCCTAAAGTGCAGCTTTTGAAAACTGCACATAAGGGGTGGGAGAGATAGGACAGCAGGGAAGACACTTGTTTTGCACATGGCTGACTCCAGTTCGCTCCCTGGCACCTTATAGGGTCCCCTAAGCACTGTCAGGAGGCATTCCTGAGTGCAGAGCCAGGAGTAAGCCAAAAAAAGCAAAATTAGAAACAAAACCTCATGGTGTTTCACTAACAAAAAATTTTTTTAAAAAATGTAAATGGTGGAGAATGGGCACTGGAGGAGGGATGGGTACTGGATCATTGTATAACTGAAACCCAAGCACAAAAATTTGTAAGTCTACAACTGTACCTCATGGTGTTTTACTAATAAAAAATAAAAAAAACCAAGGTACAAAGTGGGCTGCGTGGACAAGTGACACAAAGGGTGTGATACCAGGGGGGCCATAAGGCTGCATGAGGAAATTCAACATGACTGGATGACAAGGGCCTTAGAATAATCCAATCCCAAAATTTATTCTACAAAGGGAGGAGCAAAAGCCCCAGTTCCCCAACCACCTCCCACTCCCAGCCCCTGTCCAGAAATGATGATCACATTTGGTCCAAGACCACTGCTGAGTCAATCTTACTGGCCCAACTGCACTGCTAGGTTTGGGGAGAGAGTAGGAGAGGCCAGACTTCATTAAAAGTCAGTGAAAGCAAGAGGAGACCTGGAACAGACTCTGAGGCTTGCTGGAGCAGATGCTGAGTCATGCTAGAGCAGATGTTGAGTCATGATAGAGAAGCCACTGTTTGCTGCTAGAGGGGCTGCTAGAGCATGCTGAGTCATGCTGGAGCAGATGCCGAGTCATGATAAAGGGAAAATACCCTATTTCCGAGTGGAGCAGATGCTGAGTTGCCCTGGAGCAGATGCTGAGTCATGGCAGAAAAGTTGCTGTTCCCTGCTGGAGCATGCTGAGTCATGCTGGAGCAGATGCTGAGTCACAGGAGAGGAATGCTATTGCCTGCTAGAACAGTTGTTAACATCTGCAGGGAAGATTAATTCCAAAGGAAAATTTCTCTCAGGGACAGATATAAAAGGACTGCACCCATTTGTGGAGCTGGAATAGAGAAGGGATCATAAAGAAAATGATAGCTGGAGGAATCGGTCGGGATGGGAGATGTGTGCAGAAAGTAGATAAAGGACCAAACATAATAACCTCTCAAGGTTGTATTGCAAACCATAATGCCCAAAAGTAGAGAGAGAATTTGGGAAATCATGTCTGCCTTGGAGGCAGGGGGAGAGTGGTAAAGGGGGGGTCTACCGGGGATATTGGTGGTGGGGAATGTGCACTGGTGGAGGGATGGGTATATGATCATTGTGTGATTGTAACCCAGACATGAAAGCTTGTGACTTACCTCACGGTGATTCAATAAAATTAAAAGAAAAAGAAAAGTTTTTCTCAAGACTCGCATGGAAATCTCAAGAGGAAACTTTGGTGAATTGGGAAAAAGAAAAAAAAAAAAGCCTGCACAAGGCCTGCCTCCCTCTGACATACTGGGGCTCGTGTTACCACCCACTCCATGTTCTCTAGGCCCAGGAAGGCTATCTGGCTACAGAAGAAAACTTCGCAAAGAAGCGCTGGGTTTATAAATAATGCATCTCTTTTATCTTGCAGGCACTCTGGTGGCAGAGGGACAATCAGATCAGCTGTGAACGGCTTCCATAGCAAATCTAATAGGTTTGTAAATTAGGTCTTGTGTTCATTTGTTTTTGCTGTAAGGTAGCTATTAATCTGTTTCTCCTCTTGGCTGGATGGCACCTGTCTTAGCAAATAGATCTGTTTCTTTTCACTTTGATTTTCCACTTCAGCTTCCATTTTTAGGTGACAGACACAAACGGGGCAGACTGATCAATAAAAGATACATACAAAATGCCCCAGGTCTAGAGGCTGACAAGATGAAAAGTCTCTGAAGAGGGGTAAAACGCCAGTTCTGGAAAAGATCGCCCCCTCCCACTCCCACCCCCATGCTTATGGGCTCGGGCCGATGACCAAAAACAAACTTATGGGGCCCGAGTGATAGTACAGCAGGTAGGGCGTTTGCCTTGCACACAGCCAACCAGGGTTTAATCCCTGGCATCCCATATGTTCCCCCGAGCACCATCAGGAGTAGTTCCTGAGTGCAGGGCCAGGACTTAATCCCTGAGCATCATCAGGTGTGACCTGAAAAGCAAAAAACAAACAAACAAACTTATGCATGTCTTTACTGAGCAGCAGAGCCCTGGGAAGAACCAGCAGGTTTGCCCAGTGTCACTAAGGAGTTGACTGGCCTGGAAGTCCAAGCTGGAAAATAAAGCATTTGAGTAACATTGTTGCCACCTCTTAAAATAGATGCAGGCTAACTCGCAATGCCAGCCTTGAAGACAAGACACACAACACAGAAGTGCTGAGGGAGTTTCTGGATCCCACCTCATGCAATACAGAAGCAGGGCAACCCCAAAGGGGCATGCGGGTGTGAGCCTCAGGAGTGTTACTCAGACAATCCTAGATCCTTCAAGCTGCCTCTTCTCAGCCCTCCTTTCTGGAAGAAGGGCAACAGGACCCATAGGGGCAGAGGGGTTTCTCCATGACCACAGAGCTTGTGGGTTCTTTCCGTGACATCCTCTTGCTCCTTTCCCTGCAAATGGCCAGAGCCCAAAACAGCACTTGGTTCCTTCTCCTGGTTTCCTTCTACCCGGGAGAACACTTCTATCTGCTGGACTCCAAACCCTTCACCCTTCTGTCCTCTGCAAGCCAGAAAAGCCCTGAACAGTAAGGAATGGGAAAGGGTTTTACACCCTGAGATAAATTTTTCTCAACCTTCACAAAACACAGTTGAGTTTCCAGAATTTCATCTCAGTGTTTGAGCCATACCCAGCGATGCTCAGGGCTTCCTTCTGGCTCTGCACTCAGGGATCACCCCTGGTGATGCACAGGGCACCCTATGGGATGCCAGGGATCGAACCTGGGTTAGCTGCATGTAAGGCAAATGTCTCCCCTCTGTTCTTTTGCTCTGATTTTATCTACTTTAACATGAACCTTCAAGGCAAATGCAGAGCACTCAGATGTTTGCTTTGAATTTTCTGAAGCTCCCAAATTGGGCTGCACACACCCTTTTATCATTCTCCTGAAGATCAGAAGTCACCCCAAGACAAAAATGCCAGCCCCTCGCCCCATCCCCACCATCACCGACACACAACATGTGTGCCTGCAGGGACAGGATGATAGACGTCCGAATGACCCCGTTCTTAGAATCCCGCTCCCCCAGATTTCAGACCTCTGCATGTACACAGCTCCCAGAATGCTACGGACTGCTGAGTCGGGATGCAGCTGGTCTGAACCCCAACTTGAAGGACACTGGGGCACCAGCTTCTGTGCCCGCTCCAGACTGCACCCCAGAACAAAATGCACATTCACCCATTGTGTGGGCCCAAGAGGGATCTGAGGGGGGGAATCAGAAGTGAAGGGAACAGACAACACCCCAACTCGGCAACCAGGCTGAAGAGGGAAGCAGCTATCAGAGTTGCAAACAGGATGGAGAAGGCGCCAGAAGATGGGTCATTTCCTCTTCTGGGCTCGGGGTTGTTAGAGCAGCTTCACAAAAGTGACATGAGCGCATATGGGACAGTGACAGTCAGGTCTCCCTGGAAGGCTGGCTGGAGAGTAGGGAGTAGGAGGGTGTGTGTGTGTGTGTGTGTGTGTGTGTGTGTGTGTGTGTGTGTGTGTGTAGGGAGTGGGGGTGGGTATCACTCCCCAGTTACCTCACAGAGGTGCCTGTGCAGACAGCACCTCCCCCACCCCCCACCTTCTCAGGCAATAACTGTGAGTTGGCCGGTCTGAGGAGGGAGTATCCAGCCCAGATCTGATCCACGTGTCACCGACTGCCTCACTAACCATGTCCCCTTCGTCCGCCCTTCCAGAGCCGAAGCTCTACTGAACGGTTCCTCAGCACCAGCCCTGGCTGACAGGGGTAATGACAGCGTGAAGCACAGCGTGCAGCAGGCCTCGGCCAAGTGGACACACAACCAGACTGTCTCGCTGAGGATCAGGTAACGCAGCTACTTCGGGGTAGTAAAGGGAGATGGGCCTTGGTATGAGCCGCTGGAGCATGGCCATGGCATCTGTGGCTACAACATCTAGAGACACAGTGGACCTCCCTCTCCCCGCTCCGCCCCGCACTGGGCACCTTTCCTGGGAATCACCAGTGGCATTCACATAGGCACTCACATGCTCACACGTTCACACAGACACACACATGCACATTCACACACATGCACTCAGACCCCTACACACATACACGCTCACATATGCACTCACACTCATGTGCTCACGCACACACATGCTCACACATGCACTCACACTCCTCATATACGCTCACACACACTCGTACACATTCACACACTTACACACATTAACGCATAGTCTGTGCGATCCCTGGGTTGAGACGAGCCCTGAGGCACCCAGAGCCAATCAGCATCTGTGCCTGAACATTCAACCCGTTTTCAGAGCTCATGCTCATACACACACACACACACACACACTTACACACACGCATATGTGCTCACACACATTTACACTTGCACACTCACACACATGCTCATACGTGCATTCACACAGTCCCACGTGCTCACATTCACGTGTGCTTTCATACATTCACACACACACACAACCACACCCCAGGGGCTGGTGCATCCTGCCAAGGTTCAGGTTTTGGAGCACTGAGGGGGCTGGGCAAGAAACAGAGAGTTGGGGGGTTAGGGGGGTCTCAGGTGACCCAGCTGGCTCCCACACAGGGCCATGAAGAGAGGTGGTGGCTGTGCCCTCCTCCCCACACACTGCCGGGAGTGAGGAGTGAGTCCCCTGTGGTCCCTCCTTCTTTCCTTGCCCCTTTCCTTGGGCATGCCCTGTGAACCCTGAAACGCATGCCACCTTGGCAGGAACACTGTGTGCTCCTTCACCAGGGCATGAGCCTCTCACGTCTGTCGATTCATCACCAAAATTATTCTTAATAAAAGGTTGAGAGGCGCCTTGCAAATGGTGTTTAATAATTGATAGTAATCTCTGCTAATTAGCCGGAAATTAATTCACTCACAGAGGTATTTATTTATGGGCTTTCTGGGGCCTCTCTTTGTTCTTCAGTACTAGGAGGTGAGTAATTACAAAGGTTTCAGCAACTCCCAGGCCTGTGTGGCACATCGCGGAAGAGGTGCAGTGATGCTCACTGAACAGAGGCGGCACCTTTGCTCTCCCTGGGGGAGGGAAAGCCTCCCAGTGCCCCCAGGTAGACACACAGGGTGACAGATGGCACACAGGGTGCTGTGTCTGGCAAGTTCTCCGGCTGCCCAGAGGCTATGCCGAGAACACCTCCTCACCACCATCTCAAACCTGGGTTGGGCATTTATCCTGGTAGCTTCTGAAAGTGGGCTGAGACCCATCCTCCCGCCTCCTAGATAAGGGCTTCTCCAATGTCCCCCCAGGGCCTCCTGAATTCTCTGGGTGCAGCCTGCCAGGATAGCCACAGTCCAGAAGCATCTCAAATCTCTGCTCAAAGTTCCCCTCTGCCACCTCCCTCCATACCGTCTCTGGCAGGCAATGAAATGAGTTTCTGCAGATCTAGGCACTAACCTGTTTTTTTTTCCTTGTAGCTTGAATCTGTTCTACAGAATTCTGGGGCAGGGCTCTGGGGCGGGGACAGAATAGAAGTACAAACATGGTCCTGGATTCCATCCTGGTGTCACCAGAACAGAAAACCCTCTGGGGTACCAATTCTGTATGTCTGCATTTCTCTCCCTCTTAGCTCTTCAGTGTAGGTCCCCAGGGTATGCCAAGGCAGTCACAGGCAAAAATTGTGTGGGTGGTGGAAGGAGGTCATGGCATGAGACCAGGGGGCCAACTAGTGGATGGAGTGGGGGTCACAGAAAAGGGGGGAAAAGTCAGAAGGGAGTCAGAGCTCTGGAAAAAGTGGAGAAATGCTAATGTAGGTAACCCCTAACTCCTGATTGGAACCCTCTGAGTCTGGGGTTGCAGTCTGCAGGGTTCAAACCAGATTCCCCAAGACACAAAGAGGAAACTCACCTCTTTTAGTGTATTTGGTTCGTAATTCTAGAACTTTCCCCTGAAACCAAATCCATCCTGGAGACCAGAGAGCTGTTTTTTGATGCTCTCTGTTCCCAAAGAGCCAAGCTTGCTGGGGCCAGAGATTCCCCCTAACCAGACAAGTTTAGGGGGAAACACCCCAACTCCAGCCATGTTCTCCAAAGTCTAGAGAGGGGACCACCTGGGAGGTTCCCCCAGACACACGCCCCTGCCTCCGCCCTCCCTGATTCCCAGAGAAAGATTCCAGGAATGAGGGAATATGAGGCATCCTGGTTCTTGTTCCTGTTCATGATCTGCGGGCAGGAGAGGGCACAGGAAGTGGAGGAGGACATGTGACTGCCACGTGGGTTTGTCCGAGACGAAGGCATCTCATGGGTTGGACTCTGGTGCTAAAACCAGCCACACCTGGCCCATCCAGCTAGACTCCCCCATGAACAAACTCACCGAAACTGTCGAAGGGTGTCATTTCCCAGCCAGAGAGCACGTCCACTGGGCTGGTTTCCACAGTGGTCACCTTTGGGCTCAGTGCCCTCCACTGGATGAGAGTGGACAGAAAATGCCAGGCCGCAGGGTGGCGGGGATGCTTTTGTCCTCACGCATCTCACTCCCTGCAGGAAGCAAATCCTCAAGTTCTTGGACGCTGAGAAGGACATTTCTGTCCTCAAGGGCACCCTCAAGCCTGGGGACATCATTCACTACATCTTCGACCGAGACAGCACGATGAACGTGTCGCAGAACCTCTACGAGCTGCTGCCCAGGACCTCACCCCTCAAGAACAAGCACTTTCCCTCCTGCGCCATCGTGGGCAATTCGGGGGTCCTGCTCAACAGCGGCTGTGGGCCTGAGATCGACACACACAGCTTTGTCATCAGGTATATGCACATGGGTTGGGGCTGGCCTACGAGGGTGGGACAGAGCTAGGGGCAAGGCTGGGCTCATCTGTTGCCTCTTTCACGTGCTTTTGACATCTCCAGTGCAGACCATGGCAACCTAGCACTGCAACAGATGCCTGTGTGCACTGAGCCCCTCAGTGCCGTGCTTATATGGGCCCTAGGCGGAAGCTGGGCACCCACTCGGGCAGCTTCCTGCAAATAAGTGTTTTAGCCTGCGCAGTTCTGATTGGTGGAGAGTTGTCAAGCAGTGATCCATTCAATTTCAGTCTTTGACCTCCAGCAGTGAGTGCTCTGAGCAGGTGCCAACACACACGCACACACACGCACGCACACAAACACACACATACACAGCTGATACGTAGCAAATCTGGAGCAGAAGTAGGCTTCCTTTGGCCCAAAGCCTGTTTTTTTGGTTTTTTGTTTTGTTTTGTTTTGTTTTTTGGGTCATACCCAGCGATGCACAAGAGTTACTCCTGGCTCATGCACTCAGGAATTACTCCTGTCGGTGCCCAGGGGACTATATGGGCTGCTGGGAATCAAACCTAGGTTGGCTGCATGCAAGGCAAACGCCCTACCTGCTGTGCTATTGCTCCAGCCCCAATCCAAAGCCTGTTTTAATAAAGTTTTATTAGAACACAATCTTTCTCCACATTCTATAAGTAACACACACACACACACACACACACACACACCCTTTTTAATTTGGGGAATCAAACCCAGGGTCTCACATATGCAGGGCAAGTACTCTTCCGCTGAGCTACCTCCCTGCCTTCCCCCTGCCCCCAGTCTATATTTTTTTATAAGTATAAAAACTGGAGCAGGGCTGGAGCAATAGCACAGCAGGCAGGGCATTTGCCTTGCATGCGACAGACCCGGGTTCGATTCCCAGCATCCCATATGATCCTTTGAGCACCGCCAAGGGTAATTCCTGAGTGCAGAGCCTGGAGTAACCCCTGTGCATTGCCAGGTGTGAGCCAAAAAAGCAAAAAAAAAAAAAAAAAAAAAAAAACTGGAGCAACACAGACATACCTCACAGTTCTGTTTCTGTAATGTTTGGGTGGAAAACACCCGTTTTTATTTTTACACATTTTAGTGACTGCTTTCTTGCCACAGGGAGAGTTAAACCTTTCTGCTGGGCAGAGTTGAAGAGTTGCAACAGGGAGCACTTATCCTGCAGAGCTTAACATACTTTCTACCTAGACCTTTGGAGGAAAAAGTTCATTGACCCCTAGAAACTTTGAAAACTATTTTATTACCAACTGTTACAAAAGATCAGTAAGAAAGTCTCCTGGCTGACCCGTGGTTGGTTCACATTTGCAAACCCCCCCCCCCTTGTGAAATGTTCTGAAAATCAAGACAAAATTTCTACCAGTAACTTAACTGTCCTGTGGCCAAGACCTGGAATGTTGGAGGGCCAAGTGCAACCAAGATTTTGTCCCGGCCATTGTTTTTGATGTCGCTCTCATCGTCCAGGTAACTTTGGATACAGTTGCCCTGGCACCTAACCCAGACCCAGACTGTAGGGGAACAAGATTTCTCTGTCCTGGTTAGGAGCAGGGCACCCACTGCTTAGCCTTTTATCTGCAGCCTGCCCAGCCAGCTCAGGTTTCTGCTGGGACTGCCCCCCAGCAGAGACCTTGATCTCCAAGATTTGAGAACTGGCCTGATCCGTGAGCTTCCAGCCCCCAGGTAGCAGAGGCTGTTTTCTGGGCATCCCCAGGGATGGTTGGGTGAGCCAGCACACTGAGAAGCAATCCCAGGTCCCTTCCAGGCCATGTTCTTTGGCCAGGTTCTGCCTGTCTGGCAGGACCAATGGCTCAGGCCCCTTTTCTCAAGACTCTTCAGTTAAAAAGATTCCAGGAGGGTTGAAGAGAACTGAGGTTGGTTTGTTCTGATTGGACACCAGCTAAGGGGTGAGGCTGGGGCTTCAGATTACTTCTGGGGAGCCAGCAGTTTTGAGGTGCCCTTGCTTCCCAGGTACCAGACACACTTTCTCTGTCCAAATGAAAGTCTTGAGTTTTCCTTGACCCCACCCCTCTGGGACTCAGAAGGTTCCAGAAACTGCAGGTTCCAACAGCAGTTTCCTTTGGGGACACTGGCATAGCGAGGCCAGCTCAAGTCCAGGAGTCCAGCCTTGACACTGCTCCTGCTCGTTTGCCATCTGACATGGAAGGTGTCACCCTCCTTGTGTTGTGGACAGTCCCTGTCCACCAAGAAGCTCTGGGAAAGCACCGAAAGGGCAAGACTGTGGCAAGACAGTGTCAAACAGTGTCAAAGCTGAATTCCACCTGGGCCAACAGCATGATGATCGCAGTGGAGTAGAGTGCTGGTGGCTGCCTTTATTGGTCCTCTCCCCCATGCTAGCTTCCCAAAGTTGGACACCCTTGGGGCCAAATCCCTTTCTATGCACATGCTTCAACCCGGAAGTGTGTGAGGGCAGGAGGGGGGCGACGGAAAGCAGCCCAGCGGGCCTGGGAGGAAGGGAAGGGATGCAGAAGGTGAGGCAAGCCTCGGTGTCTTAACTGCCCGCCTCCCACAACCTATATATATGCTGTCCTTGGCCTCCGGCAGATGCAACCTGGCGCCGGTGCAGGAGTACGCCCGCGACGTGGGGCTCAAGACGGACCTGGTGACCATGAACCCGTCGGTCATCCAGCGGGCCTTCGAGGACCTGGTCAACGCCACCTGGCGGGACAAGCTGCTGCAGCGGCTACACAGCCTGAACGGCAGCATCCTGTGGATCCCCGCCTTCATGGCCCGCGGGGGCAAGGAGCGCGTGGAGTGGGTGAACGCGCTCATCCTCAAGCACCGCGTGCGCGTGCGCACCGCCTACCCATCCCTGCGCCTGCTGCACGCCGCCCGCGGGTGAGCCCCCTGCGCATACGTGCCCTGGGGGCTGCAGGGGCAGGCTCGGGGCTGCTGCGGGGCGGGGGCATTTGGGTCCCTAATGCAGCATCCCGCCTGGGGCCACGCCCTGCATCCAGTGAGTCACGGAACCTCCCGAAGCTTTCTTCCTGGAGAAAGAGGTCAGGGAAGCAAATAGGGCCTTGGCAAGGCCAGGGAGAGGCTGCAAAGATGCGAGCATGCGCCGCCAGGAGCTGCCCCCCGAAGAGGCAGGGCCAGGCAACTTAGTGGTTGGCCGGCCCTTGAGATTCACCGGGTAGGATAGTAATGGTTCAGGCGAGGCAGTTTTCCAGGGTTCTACTGTAAACTTGGGGGCTGCAGCTGCTGAGTCCATGGATGGCGCCTCTGGCCAGGCCTCTCCAGGGGTGGCGGAAAGAAAACTACAGCCCTCCAGAGAGGCTGGACACCTTCCCAGGGGTCGTGTCCGGGTGGGTATGAGCACAGAGAGCGCCACGCCATCAAGTTGTGTCCCATTTGCGTCCTCTGGGAAGGCAGCGTGCAAGCCAGTCCCCAGACTGGGGAGTCAGAGGAACACGGGGAGCAATGGGGGATGGCCGCACCTGGGAGAAACGCAGGCTGCGGCGCTATTTCCAGCTGTAATTGACTCAATTTCATCTGTCAAAATAGCATTAGGCGCCCTTTGAACAAACAGGCTGTTCCTCCAGAGATGGTAATATCTTCCTTTGCAGGGAGTCTCGGGAGAAAATTCAGGCAGGAGAGGTGGATGGGGAGATAGGGGGTCGCCTTCTGCAAGAGGAGGTCTGGTGGGAGGCCCCAGCCTGGAATGGGCCCTGATTCGAGGTCCTTTCCGTCTGCCAGTCCCGGGTGTGGGGTGGGAGGACAGGCAGTGTGACCAGTGTAGGGAAGGGGTTCTTGAAAGGGCCAGCGCTGGAGAGAGGCGAGCAATCGGGTCAACCCTGCAGCCTCCCAGGGAGGGACCCATGGGGAAGGTACCAGAAGTGCAAGAGGGACAGGACAGGGATCGGCATCCCGGCTCCCAGCACAGCACCACCTCAGACGATGGCTTGTGATGGCTGCAGAGCATAGCTCCTTGGCCAGTCGTGGGATTTCATCTTCCCTTGGGGCCAAGCAGTATTCCCCAGTGCAGAGAGCTCACAGTTCCTTTACCCGGTCATCCACTCAGGGGCACTTGGGTTATGTCCAGATTGGGGCTGTTGGCCTCTGTTGAAGAGTTTCCTGCTTCTTGGGTTCCTGCTGTTGTCATGATAACCGGGAGGGTTCCAGGCACTTGGCTCCATCGGCTCCCTCAGCTCCCTCGGTGCCAAGCAGGGGAGGTGGCCGATCAGCAGAGGATGGGGGAGGGAGAGAGGGGGGGGCAGAAACCCAGGGGTAAGTACAAGCAAGAAGCAGAGTGGGAGAGCTCCACAGACTGGAGAGAACCCCCTCCATACCGCCACTCGAAGGGTAGGACCACCTCCAACTCCCCAGAACTGTGCCCCCCAATGCCAGTTACCCACACGGGAAAGGAGGGGTTGTCAAAGCTCCATTGTTTGCTCTTGGGGTGGGGGTGGGGTTTGGTAGGGTCCCACCTCAGCTGTGCTGAGGGCTTTCTCCTGGCTTTGTGTTCAGGGATCTCTCTTAGCAGGGCACCATAAGGGGTTTCAGGGACTGAACCTGGGCCTTCTCCATGCATGCAAAGCAAGCACCTTCCCCACAGTGGTGTCCCTCTGCCTCCTCGATGCAGGACCCTCAGAGGTGCCAGGACATGCCAGCAACTAAATTCCTGCTGCATGCCGGACCCCATGAGGCTTCTCTGATCCACAATACACATGGGGAAAGAAGTAACCCACAAGTAGCGTTGGAGATGAAACAACGACATGTCCTGTCGGTTGCCCAGAAGCTGCCCACAGAGCTAGACTTGTTACCCAAACCACTAAGTGTGGCCCTCACAGGTCCCCTCACTGCTGGCGAGAGCATCAAACCATCCAGAGATGCTGAACAAGCATCACTGGGGGAAGCCCCAGAACCCTTGAGCAACCACTTGAGAGACCCCCCCCGCAAAAAAAAAAATCCATGTCTTGAGGTCTTTCTCTGCCAAACCATCATTATCAGACAACACCCTCCACCCTCAGTACACACACACACACACACACACACACACACACACACACACACCACAGAGCCCCATAGGAGACTTGACAAGTTTTAGGGCTTAAACTTGAGGTGGGGGGGTGTCAGGGCCTGTGCACCACCCCCATTCCTGCACAGTTGCCTTCACAACTTATGCTTCTCCCCCCCCCAACTCCTATCACCCCTTATGTCCATTTTGCAGCTACTGGCTCACCAACAAGGTCCACATCAAACGACCCACCACCGGCCTCCTGATGTACACCCTGGCCACGCGGTTCTGCACCCAGATCCATCTCTATGGCTTCTGGCCCTTCCCACTGGACCAGAACCAGAACCCCGTCAAGTACCACTACTACGACAGCCTCAAGTACGGCTACACATCCCAGGCCAGCCCCCACACCATGCCCCTGGAGTTCAAGGCCCTCAAGACCCTGCATGAGCAAGGCGCGCTGAAACTGACGGTGGGCCAGTGTGACGGGGCCACGTAAGGGCCCGCAGCCGGCGGACGCGGTGACTCACGTTTCTTGCCCACTCCACCGCTAGGCAGAGGGGAGTTGGGCAGCACGGGTTCTCTAGGACAGCAGGGTAGTTGTCTTTGTTCGAGTGTAAAACAGTGACACGCGGCGTACCTCGCTCTCGCGGCCCGCCCATCTATATTGACCTGAGTGTTTGACTGTGTGGGGTTCAATCGAGCGTGAGGCACATCGCCCCCCCACCCCACCCCGGGCAAGAAGGCCCTGGGAGAAATCTGCGGGGACCGATGCAGACTCCACCCTCCGTCAGGGAGGGCAGGAATGGGGGACGAAGAAGGACTCGGGGCGGAAAGAGCCCAGCCCGTGACTTGGGGTGACAGCTGCCCCCTGAGACTTGGAGGGTTCTCTGGGGACTGTGGGTGAGTGGAGAAGCACCTGGTTTTAGGGGTGAACAGAGGGCCGGAGCTGGGCTTTCAGTGTGAGAATGGACAATGCAGGCCATGCAATGAAGGAGGCTGGAGGTGTCCTTGGATCCACATCAGAAATGGCCCAATTGGATGGACCAGGGGGAACAGGCGACCAGAGCAGGCAACCCCAGGCACAGACTGCTGGAGACTAAGAAAGCACCTCCTGGCCCGGAATCATGTTCAAGAAATGTAGTGGCTTCCTTCGAGGCCAGGGGGCACTGCTGGAAAAAAGCAGAAGAGTGTTCCGAGTTGAGGGGCCCCTGATGGTAGAGCTTGGGCCCAAATTGCAGGATCCCACCCTCCTTCCAACCAGGACCACGCCACTGCACCTTCAGTCACCAGAGAAGCTGCAGCACAAGCTCGAAAGGTCACTGGGAAGACAAATGTCATCCTTTAAAAATAGCCTTGCGGGCGTGGCAGGGAGACAAGGGGCCACGCCCTTCCTCCAGCTCTCCAAGGCCTCTGCCACCTGGCAGCGGGTCATTGGGTCATCGGAATGCCCATGCCCACCGCGCCTTCACTCTGCAGGGAGAGGAGACCCCTCCCCCACCATCTCTTGCCACCCCACAGGCAGCTTGCTCGGAATTCTGGCGATTCCCTCCAGGTCTTGCTCTCAGCCCCAAATGTGTTTCCAGATGCTGTATGGTGGCGGCTAGTGGCCAGGGAATCACCCAACATGGCGGTGACACCAGAGAGGCAAGCCTACAGCCATGTGCTTCCCAGCCCGAGCCCCGTGCTGGGTTAGCGGCAGCATCTGGAAGCAGAATGGAGCAAGTCCAGGAGCTTCAATGACCCGGGGACCCCTGGGTCTCATGTCCCACATTTGTGGATGTAGTCCTAAGGCCAGGCCACATTTCGTTCCTGAGGCTTGTGGTGCCAGCCCCCGCCTCCCGCAGGACTGCCCACTGGGCCCTATGATAAGACCTGAGAGCTTGGACTCCAGATTGTTCCTGCGAGGCAGGGAAGGCCTGTGCTGGTCCTGGGCCTGCCACTTGCAGGGAGACCTGGTTTCCTCTGGGTCCCGGTCTTGGTGCTTTTATCTGATGGAGAGGGGAGGGCAGGACTTGGGGGGTGGGTGCCACCCCACCAGTCTCCAGCTCCCTCTGAGTCTCCTCCCCAGCCCCCAGTCCCGTATGGTAAGGGGGACTCTGGAAGACCGCCCTGGCCCCCTCATTCCCTGCACAGTTGGGGACCCACCTCCTTTGTGTTGAATTGGACCATAGCACTCACCCCCTGCCTCCCCCACCACCACCCCTGCCACCCTAAAGAGTCCCAGATTCTTGTCATTCCAGTACCCCAACGGCCACCTTGTAAGTGCAGAAGTCATAGACCTGCCTGAAGGCGGGGGGAACCTTTGACCCCTGCCTTGCCATCACCCCCTAAGGCCCCTCAGCACTCTAAGCCCCCCATCACTGCCTTCTACATGGAAGAAATGGAAGCTTGGGGGGAGGGTCTCCCTTCCAAAGCTCCTGCTCAAGTTCGTCCGGTTCCCAAGAAAGGAGTGTCCAGCACCCGTCACAGCCTCCCCCTGGGTCTGGCCCCCTCTGCCCACCCAGGCACCCCTGTGTCTCTGGTCCCAGCTCCAGCAGCCTCGTCCTCCACCCCCAAAGGCCCCCTTCTGGGCATTCTCTCAACACTCTCCTGCCTGCCTCCTGGCCAGGGACACAGCACCCTCCCCACCCCTTTTCCTCCTCCCTCCCCTCCTGGCCCCTGCCTCATCTATTTATGTATTTATGTGTGTATTTATGATTTATTTATTGTCCCCTCGATGACCATGGCTGACCTGTTCTGCCCTTTCTCCCTTACCCCAGCTTCCTGCACACCTAGGCTTAGTGACCCCAGTTCCTTGGCATTAACCCAGCCCTCGAGAAGCCAAATTCAGCCTCTAAGTTCCTCTCTAGACCCCCTCCCTTTCCTTCTCAGACTTTCTCCAGCACACAACTGGAGTTGGGCTATTTCCCAGCTCACTCACTCCATCAGTGCCATCCTTGCCCATTGACTCAGCTCCAGGTCAGTGGCCTCACTGTCCAGATAACCTCTACGTGCTGGTCCAGCCCACAACCACTCCACTCTCCCACTGTTCCCCTCACAAAGCCCACACAGAATCCACATCACGGGCTGAGCAACAGTACAGCGGGGAGGGCACTCGCCTTGCACAAGGCCAACTGGGGTTCAATCCCCAGCATCCCAGGAGTGATCCCAGAGCCAGGAAGAGGCCCTGAGCACTGCTGGGTGTGGCCCCAAAACAAAATACCCACATCTCATGCACTCTCGGCACCCCCAAATATGCTCGCACACGCCACTGCCCAGTCTGGGCTTCGCCAACCCACTGTCCCCCTTTACTGCCCCCTCCTCACGCACTGACCACATCCCACCTTGTATTATAGTTCTGGTGCGCTTGTCCGATGGCTGTCCCTCGACAGTGCGCCCCCCTAACCCCCACGAGGACTCTTCGCTCTCTTCCTCTTTCCATCACTGCCCCCCACGCGTGTCAGTGCTTCAATAAATGTTTGTTGGCTTCAGTCCTTTGTATACTTGTACAGACTGTTTGCTGGCCCACATTACTGGCCACCAAGGGGTAGGTGTAGAGGGGGGGACACAAAACCCTGTCCAAAAAGACTATCCATACGCCACCTCTCCCAATCTGTACTGAGACACTGGGAGGGATCTGAATCCAGAGAATGAGGGCCACAGAGGGATCTGAATCCAGAGAGCAGGAGGTCACGGAATGTGTATTCAAAAAATAAATTACAGAAGGCCACAGTGGCTCTCTCACCTCCTGCGCTCAGTGGTCTCCCGCTGCTTCCCCCACCCCGGGGTGGCCGATGGCGATGGGCAGACGAAGGAATGAACAAGGGCCAGGCTGGTTGATATCAGTTGCAGTTTATTCCATTCTCACCTCCATTCTCCTCTTATTCTCCTCTGGATCTTCTCCTTTGCCCAATCCCCCTCATCCTCCTCTTGGATCCTGCTGCTTCATCCTTCTCCTTCCTGCTTCTGCCTACCCCAGCCCACTCTTCCAGCCTTAGTCAAATCCCAAGTCATGAGGGGTTGGTCATACAATCAACAGAGGTAGAATCCTTCCCTCAGAGGAAGCTTCTTCTAGGACAAACTCTCATTCAGCAAGATGACCCACCCAAGCGTGAAATTCTACCTATGGGTATGTTTCTCCTTTCCTTAGTCCAACAAACATATAAATATTCATAATATTAGTCACTCTGTATGGACAGAGTAAGAGATACATCAAGCTTATAGGATTGCTCAGTGTATCTCCTGGGGCCGTCTCACTATAGATCTCAGACTACAGTGCTCAGGCCGGTCTTTCCTAACCCTAGCAGGGTCCTAACTTTTTGGATCATGACAGAATTTGTCCATGACCATGCTCTTATAGTTAAGTGTTGTGACGCGTTGGCCTTGCTCATTTCGATGCCAGGGTAACTCCCAGTTTGCTCTGGGTTCATCCAGTCCCTCGTCGGGACGCTGGTTTTAGGTTGCTAGGAACTAAGGGCAACTGAGGCTTAAGTCGAGAAAGCAAATGCCCAGGGGTGAATATTATTGGGAGTCAATAAACTCCCAGTTACAAAAGCATAGCATTAATTGTCTTCCTGTGTCTATACAAAAAAGAACATTGCTCTAAATGAAACTATGCAAAAGGACATAGTAGAAGGAGAAAAGCAATATTTCACTTATGGATACAAGTCCAGTGTCCTTAGAAGGGTCTGACTTTACAAGTTAACAGAGTCTGATTAGGGGGGAAAGGTGATAGACTGTTTGGGGAAGCAGAGCACAAAGAAAGAGGTTACAGATAAGCAAAGGAATGGGAGTGCCTTGGGAGCACTATGATGGGTGTAACCCAATAAACCAAAGCTCCCTGTGGCAAGGGAGAAAGGACAAACCAATGTTATCTTACAACTGGAGAGATCCTGAATCCAGTGAGCAGTAAGCCATAGGAGAGATCAAGAGGCCACAAAAGGGATCCTGAATCAGCGAACAGAGGCCATGGGAGGGATTCTGAATCTAGTGAGTGGGAGGCCACAGGAGGTGTGAGCACTAGCCCCAACATCCCATCCGACTGTAAGCAAATAACCAACACAAAGCGGAAACATTCATGAACATTTTTCTAAGGGGTTCAGAGAGAGAGTACAGAGGGGAGGGTGCTGGCCTGGCACCCCACAGGGTTCAATCCCCAGCTCCCCGTAGGGTCCCCCAAACCTCGCCAAGAGTGATTCCTGAGCACAGATCCAGGCATCAAGCCTGAGTACAGCAAAAGAAAATGTATTTTTCTAAAAGATCTCAAGAAACAGTAAGCACGTTCCAGGTGTGAGCGGTGCTCACAGTCAGAAATGGCCGGAACCCAGGGCACCCCTGCCGGGTCACATCAGTTAGTGCCCACAGGACAGAGAACCTATCCAGAGCCCTCCGTGCACCTGTGAGCAACGCCCTCCAGCTCCTGCTCACGGACACCCCACTGCTGGGCTGCAGTGCCCAGACCAGTCTCGCAATTCAGTCTTCCCTAAACCACATCGAACCTGAAAAATGGAGAAAGCCACACACGCCCCCCCCCCGCCCCTCCCCCTCCCCCCCCCCCCCCGCTCTGTCACCCACCTGGATCAAGCCTTACAGTTTGGGACCCCTTGCTGCCTTTGAGATGTTCCCCCGACTCATCGTTGCATTTGCTCAATTCAGCAAACGCCTCTATTCCCCTGGCTCCTCCTTGCTCAGGAACGGCCTGGACCACCTCACTCCATCCTTCCGACCTCCTACCCTGCGTGCAAACCCACACGCTCTGCTTGGGGGGAATTTGGGGGTGGGGGGTGGAGGGCGTGCGGCCCGGTGAAATCAAAGGGGATCGGAACTCTCCAGCAACCCAGGGTGAGGGCATTGTGGGTCGTGGGCACTGTCTTCCTGCGCACCTCTGGGCTTGAAACCAGAGGAGACAAGAGCCCTGCTGGATCTCAGATTCTTTTCTCGACGCACCGACTTGCATCCAAGATGGAAAGCGCCCGTGGACCAGAGGTGGCCGGAAAGGGCAGACGCGGAGGAACAGCGCCGCCTCTATTCTTGGGCTGTGATCAGCGCCTCATCTCGGCGTTGAGGGGGAGCG